TCTCTCTCTCTCTCTCTCTCTCTCTTAGTCTGCTGATGCAGTGAAGTCAGATAGCAAGAGGGTGAGAAGGAGATGGTGGACTGAGAAGACGAAGAAGAAGAACTCTCTCTCTCATGTGCCAGATACTAACCTGTGAAGATGGCGCTGTGCTGCAGGTACCTCGAAGACGAAGCTGGAGCAACGGCGCTGCAGGTAAGTATCCCTGGCCTCCGCCCAATCTCTCTCTCTCTAGTACTACTCTAGCAGGTGACATCCTATAGACTCTTCCTTTGGGAGGGGTAGAGTCAGGCAGAATCTGAATATGGTGCTTGGTCTGCCTATGGACTAGTCCAGTAGGCTCCTGAGCCAAATCAGAAAACTCATCAACCACCTGTTGAATGGAAGGATCAATCTGAGAAGGGGAGGAATCTGAATCTGTTTGAGTGACATAAGCCACAAACAGATTCTCGTGGTCAGTTTCCTTAGACAAGTTGTAAAACTCCCTGGCTTTCAGGCAGTAACAACTTTTCTTAGGATGATGGTCAGTAGCTAAGACACATTGTCTTAGCTCACCCTGGGAATTCTTCAATTGAATATTGGGCATAGCCCAATCAATTGAAGGGTTAGTAGCCATTAACCACTTTAGACTCAGGACCAGATCAAAGGGAAGATGGGGGAAAACATAGAAATTCAGGGAATGTCTGATTTCCCCTTTGTCATCAAAGGTGACTGGCACTCCTTTGATGACTTGCTTGACTGAGACAGATTGGGAATCCCCTATCTGTATCTCCAAAGGATGCTCAAGGTCAGTAACCTTGAGACCTAAATGAAGTTTTTGAACTCCATTCTGAGAAATGAAGCTCCTTGTAGCCCCACAGTCAAGCAAGGCTTTGATCCTGGTTCTGTTAATTTGAGGCTTGAGCATGATCAGTTCTGATCTCTTCTTCCTCTTCTCCTTTAACTAGAGATGAAGGGAACAGAGCTGATCAAGCTCCTCCTCGGACGAGGGCTCATCAAGATAGGGCTCAATATAAGAGTAGATTGAGTCCCTCGCAGCCTCAGAAAAATCCGGCGCGGCAGCTGATTCATCTCCTAAAGAGATGAATACAGTTCAGCAGGGCTGGCTGCAGCCTCTGCTGGCCTGCTCAGTTTTTTGAGTGGCTGCAGTTGCTGTGGTTCAGCCTAGGGCAATCCTTGACATAGTGATTGCCCTCACACCTCAAACAGACCCCTTTTTCCTTCCTCTTTTGTCATACGCCCTCTGGGATTCTTAGATCCCTCCAAGGAGCAGAGGAAATGTCCAAGGGACTGGCGGGGCACTTGGCAAACTTCGGGAGGTTCTGCTGTTGCGGACCACCGGGGCGTTTGCCCGACCCCTTAGGACTGGAGGAGTTTTGTCCCTGGAACTGCTTGCCTCCTGTGAGGGCTAGTAGTGCCTGGGCCAGCACCTGAGCAGCCTGGTTTGCTGATGTCCCTGCACCCTGGCCAGCTGGGGGAGTAGATCCTCCCTGGCTAGTGCCTGCAGAGTCATCATCAGACTCCATGGCATACAAATTCCCCTTTCCCTTCCTCCTACTCTGGGAAGAGGGGTTGCCTCCCTTCTGGGGAGTGGACTGGACATGGAGGGTGGCCTCCATGTCCAAGGCTGCTCTGCCAAAAGATCGYCAGTCTTTGTGTCCKGCAAAATACAGGGYCGTGGTATATTTCTCAGGAGCTGCCCTGATGAACCAAGTCAGTTGGTCCCTGTCAGACATCTCCAAACCGGGAGTAGAGGTAAGACGCTCGAATTCTGCATAGAGCTTGGCCAGGGAACCCCTGTACTTTGTCTAGCCAAGACTAACCAGCTCGTCTGCAGCCTTGCGGGCCTTTTCCTTATCTGCAAACCTCTCCTCCAGGCCCTGGAAGATGGTCTCTAAACCCACTGCAACAGCCCA